GATAGTAATATCCCTTCTGCATGTGCGTTGTACTTATATTTAAGTACCTCTGCTCGCTGTATGTCTTAAGCATTGCCCTGCTTCGCCGTTTTGCATGACTCGAACTGACAGGGGGAGAGGGGGTAGATGCGACCCTCCCCGGGCATTTCCAAGCTTCTAAAGATAGAGCTTGCCGAGAACACCAATATATCGTTCTGAACACGATCTCACGTTTGATACTAGTTCTTATGTTGTTGACAGGTCAAAGATCGAATTTACCAGAAAACCGCACTTTGTAGCTTTGCTTTATGTTAACGAGGACAAGCCTTGCGGTGACAGGAAACTTAAACTGGCGTGTGTCTTGTTCAATTCTGAGTACATTCTGTAAAGCGATTCTTTTGCCGCCCGCTGCCCGAGCCAGCCGTAGGTCGCCGTGGAGTGCTCACCACAAACTGCCGTTGCTCCGAAACCAGAAAATCTAGGAACACGTTTCGGTGTCAAAACACGTGCCATAATCACCGCCTGACATGGCGAGGGTTAAACGTCATGTTATTGCTGCGTTGGGTATCGGTAACGATTTTTCGTGAAACGATATTTCTCACTTTGGTAATAGCTGGAGCCATAGCGGGCAAAGCAGGAAAAAAACAATGCTTGCTTCCTTCCTTAGTTGCTTGCTCCTAGCTCGGCCTCACGCTGTCCCCGTCCCAAAAGACCAAGTCCCTCGCAACAAGTTGTGCTCTATCCGTGGGGTGGCGCCGAAAGGTTCCGATGCTCGCGAAACTTTCCCCGTCCGAACAACTAGAACATCTTCATGGACGCGCCAGACTGTTCGCACGCGCTTGGAGACAGGCAGGGTGGTGCGAATGAAAATGGCGCCAACGATAAGATGACCGACCAAGCCAACCGATCGCTGTTATTGCGTAAGACGAACGGTAATGAATGCACAAGACAGAGGGAATGACATATTATCTCGGTAGAGTACGTGTCTGGATGTCAGTGGTCTTCAGGGCTCGCCAACTGGAAAAATGCAAGAGGTACACTGCTTTAAGAGGGTGCTACTGCAGTCCGCATGACATGAAGGTGACATCTCACGGCAATACATGAGCCATATTACTGGAACTGCAGTGTTGTAGCTCAACCGACATTGTCAGCACGATGTGTTTATTTCTACTAAGTGTGAACCACATTATTCGGACTCATGTATGAGGTGCACCTGAAACCTCATGAGACCTGAAAACCTCTCTGGCATCCAAGAACATTCTCTACCGAGATAGTGCTCTCGTGTACGAGGTGCGCTGCGCTTATAAGCGTGTCTGTACCGTCCCAAAAACGTCGGCTTTGCTTCGGTCTTCGGTTTCAGGACTTTGCTCATTTCCTTATGATTGCTTTGGCATATTATCTCGGTAAAGTACGTCTTTGTACGTCAGTGCGGTTTCATGCCTCGCTCATTGGAGTTATACAAGAGGTGCACTACTTTAAGAGAGTGCTATCACAGTCCGTCCGCACGACATGGTGGTGACATCTCACGGCAATAAACAAGCCTTATTCATTGAACCGGAATGTTGTAGCTCAAACGACATTGTCAGCATTATATGTTTATTTCTTATAAGTGTGAATCGTATTATCCGGACTCGTGTATGAAGTGCACTACACCAATAAATGTATATGTACCGTACCAAAAACGTTGGCTTTGCTTCGGTGTTCGGTTTTCAGGGCTTGGTCCGTTTCCTTAGGATTGCTGTTGGCATATTATCTCGATAAATCATGTCTTTGGATGTCAGAGCGATTTCATTTCTCACTCATTGACTTTGTACAGGAGGTGCACTACTTCAAGAGGGTGCTACCACAGTCCGTCCGCACCACATGATTGCAACATCTCACGGCAGTGTATGAGTCATATTAATGGAACTGAAGTGTTGTAGCGTAACCGACATTGTCAGCACCATGTGCTTAGTTCTAATAAGTGTGAATCGTACTATCCGGACTCGTGTATGAGGTACGCTGCACCAATAAATGTGTATGTACCGTACCAAAAACGCTAGCGTTGCTCACTTTTCGGTTCCCGGGCTTGGGCCATTTCTTTAGGATTCCTGGATGTGTTTTGGCTCAACCAACACTGGTGGCGCTTTGCATGTGTTGTCCATTTGGAAATATCAATTCAAGTTTCACAGATTGAAATGATATAGGGGGTAAGAAATGTAATGATAAGGCAAGAGTGTATGTGCATCTCTTGTCGGCGTGCGGTGAACCGTAAGTTATCAGATATATGGTAAAAATGATCAGAATTATCGTATGTACGAACGTTAAGCACAGTATTAGAAAATTTATGACATGAATGTCGAGAACTGGGATATTTTTCTTGGTTGCCCGAATGTCCATGATTTGATTATTACTTCGCTCTTTTAGCACATCTTATGAATCCTCTGCTGTCTGCATGTTATAAATCGGATTGCTGGTTTGCTGCCTAAATTATGATGTTGTCAGACGGTACATTTTTAAGATGATGAGCAATCTTTGATACCAGCATTGTGAGTAACAATAGCTAGAACCACGATATCAATAATGATGACTGGCCCACTATTATTAATAATATAATGATAATTGGCATGAGGGCCCACTTTCAGAACGAACAGCGACCAAGCTGGGCCCCAGCATCTATCAGGTGCCTACAGTGCCTACCAGAGGGTCCTGTGTTAGCAAGGGGTCCCGAGTCGACCAAGAGCAGTATTCAGTGGGGCCCGAAGACAGGTCCGGGGTCTCGCCGAAACCGACAATCAAGAACCTGATTGGAGGCATAAGGGCCCGAAGGGCTGGCTGTAGGTCACACACAGGATCACGGCCCGTAGGACCGTTGAAGCCCCTGACATATTAGAAAAGGGGCCTCTCACATCGTTTGAGGACCCCTGAGACATTGCAACACCAAACGGTTGGCTACGCGTCGGTCTGAACCCTGGGATCCCATTTCCCAAGCAAAGACAAAGCCGGGGCCCACAATTTGCATTAGACTGGGTGTCTGAAATAATATTTGGGTCCTAGTGTCGGTAACGGGTCTACGGTGCCTAACAGTGGGCCATATGTCGGCAAGTGTCCCGCGTCCGTCACGGGCTTTGCTTGAGGAGGCCGAAAAAGGGCCTAATGTCCCCTCGGGATCAAAGACCAAGTGCCCGATTGGAAGGCTGAAGAGGCCATAGGGGGAAAAGGACTACGCGTAGGTCACAATAAGAACACAACCTGTCCGTTGGGTCGTGACCTTCAATGCCAGTCAGAGGGTCGCTGCATCGATTGAGGATCCGTGGGACAGTGCAGGCCTCTCATACTAACGTATGAGCACTCTACCTCAATCTGTGCCAGTCCAGTTCTAAAGTGAATAGAGTGGCCGGATGAGTCCACATTGAAAGGGAAAAGGCATGGGCACACCCCCGGTGCATGTGCTGGGTATTTAACAAATAACAAATATGGCGGTGGAAAAAGTTGCGCATTGTTCGGTTCCCTAATAGCCAGACATCCCGCGCTGTGCGTTTTTCACTGTTGGAGCTTTTGTCATCCTCAGGCCTATTTTCACCGGGACGCAATTTTTTTATTTTACATTAAGCACCGGGACGCGAGCATTCTCATCTGATTTTCGGCGGATGAAACCGTCTGCCCAGCACCGAACTAACCGTCCTCGGGGATCGCTCGCCCACTGCGCCAGTTGTGCCAGCTCCCGTGGAACACTCGGAACTTGCAGCCCGTCCAGACCGAGGATGTGTTCGGCCAGCGGCAACTCAGCCACTCAACTTAGCAACTCAGCCAGCATCGACTGGCCAAGGGTCGATGGAGGGATTTTATGTCACCAATACTGCTGCACTACGCTCCATCTGCCGGAAGACCTATACATTCGCCCAGCATATTATGAACATTCCCCTGCCTTCAAACAGCACGCTATCAAGGTGGATGCGTGGTTTCCAGGTTCCAGCTCGATGCTGGCACCATCCATGCGGCACTCCGGGTGCTGAAACCGGCGGTGGTGACCATGGACCCGCTGGAGTGCATCTGATCCTGCTTCCACATTAGCGAGATAACATTGCACAGTCGACAGTCTTATAACTTGAGCCTACTGACAGACGAGGAATATCGTGGTTAATTGATCCACTGCATTCATTATAAACAGCCGAAAGGTTATGGACGTGGGTTGTGATGCACACTTATGCTGCATTTCGTTAATGCTCGAGCAAGTCTTATCCGGTATTTGCCAGGCAAAGGTGGAGCAAACCAGCGGTACCTTTTGCAATATGAAACTAACAACCGTCAAGGCCAAGCTCTGGTGAATGATTAGGCCTCAGTGTGCACTGACTTGACTGTCCCCGTTAGATGGGGCCGCGAGAATGTGCCTGGCCGGCTCCGGGTCCGGAGCCCCTGCCGTAGAGCTTGGGGTACCTTACAAACTGCTATACCCGACGGCTTCTCAAAGATGTTCAGCCAGGAAGGTGGGAAATGCGCCCGCACTCCCTCCGGTACACCGTCATGGGCTACATCGATGCTACCATTGTGTTCTGTCGAGTGATCTGCCAAACCGAAGCCCAATCAAAATGCCAACTGGGGCTCAGAAGTTCCATGGATTCGCTTTGGGGTAGGTACCCCGCAGGGTGGCAGCTGTGATACACAAAATAAACTGATAATCCGAGGGTGCAGTCTTGAGTCCATCTGGCGTCTCCAAAGTCATAGATAAGTCCTCACGTTAAGCACTTCTTTGGCGTAAAACCCACTGGATCGTCCCGAAAAGCTCCCTTTCTGGGTCCTATACTACCGCCTTGCTTCTTGCAATGCCTTCAAAATGGTGCATAGCTGTCAAGTTTTTTCATTCATTCATATTGACTTTGACCTTACGAATCATTCCATCCACCAAACGTGTTATAATGCGCGCGATCTCCCATGGCCACTACGACGCGCGCGGCCATCTCAGCGTTTAAGGAGTGTTCCTGGTGACGTCAAATAGGGATCTTTACTGAGAAGTGCGTTGTCGTGACGGTTTCACCTGTTTGTATCGCCCAGGGTGTAAGTCTGGGCGTACATAGGCCGTTTCACAACACACCATTTCACGGACACACACAACGCGACCCATTTCAGCAGCATAATTTCGTGTCCTTTATATGGCCTTTCACTGGTATAAGCTTTTGGTCTCACGCAAGCTGAGGAACTTAATTTTGAAGGTGGTGATCCCAGGATTTTTCCAAATGGATGTCTTTGAAATGAACTCGTGTTGCACGCAATATTGTACATTGGTTTGAGCCTTGTTATCGCTTGGGTATTTTTACGTTTTCTTTAATTGTCCTCATGTAACTACTGGCCAATGTGTGAAACCCCATGTTCTGCTGTGGAAACAATGGGGCATTTGCAGGCTAATGACATGTAGCATGCTTGTGAGGTACCCTGAAAATATGTAAATGTGTTTGAACCCAGCGATCTTTTGTCAATGTGTTGTGCCAGTCCTCCATATTTTCTGAAGCCCTCATCTGATAATAGCTGTTATGGTATGATGCTTGAAACATTACAGTCAGTATGTTTCTGGCTGCACTGTGAATAAAGGTATATATATATATATATATATATATATATATATATATATATACATACACATGTGTATTTACACATGCACATTTGTTTGTTGGTACATATGCAAATAAAACATGCTAGTTTAATGCTTGTTTTGCAGGTGAAGGGGAGCTGATTTCATATTTGTTTGACTTAAAGAGGGCAAAATGCCAATGGGAGCTGGAGGATTTCTCAGCAAACGAGGGTAGGTATGCAAGTTATGCAAGATATTCGAGTTATTGCATGGAATCTTTGATGTAAAATTTTGCACTCATATAGTTTCTTTCCTTCAATATCCCCTGGTCTTTGCAACCTGTTTAAAGTGTGCTAGCATTTTATTGGTGGTCATTGTGCTTGAAAACTTTGCTTACAGTGACTGCAAAGTGGACACCCATGGTGAAGTCCCAAGAGTATCATTCAATGGACAATGTGCTGATCACCTAGTTTTTGCTGTTTTTTGCTAGGTTGGTTGTAGAGCACAGAGGTCCTGTAATGATGTTTACTGGAGGACTTGTGTGAGCTCGGATGGTGAAGTTGTGTGACCCCAGTTTCTGAAACTGGGTGGTGCCACTCTGTGCAGGGTGCATTGCCCCGTGTTGCATGACACTGGGGTGTTCCAACTTTTGTGCTGCATTTTGGTGCAACAACATACCAGGAAGGTGATCATGAATGAGAGCATGGAACACACTAGCCATGGGTCTCCAGCACGGCTCAGGCCGGTGGAATATCTGGAATGTATTGTGTCTTCTTGTGCATATATCTTTCCTGAGTGAATGTGGTGTAAGTGCTGTTTGCACAAGGGCAGGTCCACACACAGCAGTGGTAATGTGACTGGAGGAAGATTGTGTCATAGTGCAATGTTCAGTGCTCTCTCAACTCGGTTGTGAACACCCTCATGCCAATTAAACTATGGTATAGTTTACAACAGGCTGTTGATGCACCTGTTATTGAACAAGTTCACTGGATTTTGTGGACCTTGTGACCAGTTTTACAACATGTGATCTATGCCAGAAACTCATCCTGTCTAAGACCGCATGGCTGGTTCAGACCAGGTCGTTTGATATCAATTAATCAAGCGATATTGTGTCGCCACAGTATTTCACACCGAAAATATCCTAGTCAAAAATGATAAAATGATGCAGCCTTCACTGTCATCTTGTTTGGCACTACTGTTGGTAATTTCGTGTCACCTAGAAGCTCCCATCGAAGTCTGTGATCAAGTGATCGGTATTCCTTGAGTCTTGCTGTCGTGACTCATGGCATGCTGCCCTTCACGCCATCTGCGTGAACAGCGTATGGGAGTATCGGATGTTGACTCCTGTACTTTTGTATCGCGCTGTGCTGTGCTGTACGCAGGCTGGCGGAAGGTTTGCAGACTTGTGCATATGTCACGCCTAGGTTTTTTCCCATTGACTCACTGTTCGACTACCCTTGTCAACGGAATGAATGTCCCGGCGCGCGTCATTCTGGCCTCAAGCAAATCCGCGCCTGTTGCCGATGTCAGCGGAGGCTCAGCCTGTCGTGCCCCGGCTCTGCCCAATGACGCAGACAATGACGTGCTGCAGGCGCCCCGCCCGGCACCCACGCGATCCGCGTTCCCGGAGCACAGGCGCCACTCTTTGATTAGTCGCCGCTGGCCGGCTAAGGCCGGCGAGCCGCGGCGCCGGCGCTGGGAGGGCAGGCCGGATCGGGAAGGCCCGCTCGCGGCGTCGGCGTCTCAGCGTGTCGAGCCGGGGTCCGGTACCCCGTGGCGTACCACGTTCGGGGACTTGTTTCGGGGGCTTTGTTGAGCTGGGCCGCCTTTGCGCACTGAACATGATGTTGGCTGTATAGTTCGCTGCAACTGCATTTAATTTGGTTTGTTGACGACCTGCATTACATGCCTAGGTGCGGGGTAACAGTGATGTTTTCGATGTGGCCGCCAATCGTAACTCTTGATCTTTAGGGTGTTCGGTGTTCAGTGTGCCATCTAACACCTTGCTGCCCTGGGCATGACTATAAGACTATTGGCGAGGGCGATGCCTTTAGACTGGACTGAACATGATCAGTGTTTAATGTCATGGTTACGATGCCCATGTTACTGAGGCTGTTGGATCTAAATCTTGGGAGCGTAACGCAGCGCATGACACGATGGACGATGGCGTTCGTCTGTCAGTAACGGGAGACGCTTCTCAGTGTCCTGCCTAACGCATTATTCGGAGAACCAGTTAGTAGATCTTGATAGAAAGGAAGTAGCGGGCACTGATTGCTGATGGGGGGGGGGGGGGGGGAAGTAACCAGCTCTGATTGGTTTTTGACTTCCGAACCATATTTGTTCTGTGTGCTTGTACCAACGTACCACTGCCGCAAAAGCAGGCTTAAATGTACACAGGCCATGCTATTCTGGACACTCTACTGTGGTGGTTTTGCATCCACAGCCGGTGTGTCGCTTCCCGCTGCACTGGTACAGGATCTGCTCGCTACGCCGCTGGGCAGCGGGCTTCGGTCAGGTCGTTGTCGGTGCGCCACAAGAGTCGCTCAGGCACGCCTGGTCCGCCATTTCAGGCCGCCGTCGGCGGAGGGCGTGCGCTGCCAGAAGTGTCTGAATGTGGGTCACTGGACGTACGAGTGCACAGGCAAACGCAAGTACGTGCACCGAAGCTCCAGAACGCAGCAGCTCAAGAAGAAGCTCAAAGAGAATGAGGAAAAGACCAAGTCCGAGAAGATGTAAGTACGCGTTGGTGGTTATACGGCACGCTGTCCTTTTCGTATTTTCTATTACGTCGCGCAATATTATGGCTGTGGTAGTGGGGCCGACATACGTTTCACGACCGTGAAAGCGCATAAAAGGGCTGCAGTCGAACGTGCAACGTTACTAGCCAATGCCGAAGCGGCCCCGTCTTAGCGAGCGTATTACAGGGCGTATTTCACAGTCACATTTACTTCACGAACCAATCATTTCATTGCTTGTGCATAGTGCCTCCGCTGCGTGAGTCACTCGATTCAGTAGGACGCACCAGACTGCCAACTTTCGCCATAATGACTTGGATTGGCCATCCGCCAGTGTTTCCACCCCAACTATTCTGCTCCAGGCGACGTATTGTGAATTATTGTCTGTAGGAAAGCACATAATACGTCTCCGGCCCGAAAAGTCGCGGATTTGAATGCAAGCCGCGCCAATTTCATCACGTTGCACGTAATTGGTCAGTAAAAACTTTTGTCAGAAGCTTCATTTAAAGAGAACGCAACGCCGTGGCAACATCGTGATTTCCCAAGATGTGGCTATTTCAATTTAATGTCTAATGGTTGCAGAGATGCTACCAAAACCATTGGGCCGGACGCCCCCGGCGATTTCGTCACGATCGCCATGTATTGTGCAACGGTTTGCGTGACTCGTGCACGACATTTTTTTGCAGTAAAACAAGTGCGAAAATCCTCCAGATCGACCACTATTAGTTTGTTACATCAATAATGCTGTGACCGTTCAGTTTTACAACATTCGATTTCGGCACCGCGTTACAAACACGTTATGCAATGATAATACAGCTTAAAAGTGTTGCTGTCTGCCACTGCAATATGTAAAACCTTGTAATGGTGACCATGAGAGCTGCAAATATTATTTTGCTGTATCCTTCAGTTGAGGATGGTTGGGTTATATATACATAGTTGAATCAGGTCGTTTCCTTCAGTGGAATATTTCGTCTTGGTCCGAGCCTTCGTTTTGACAGATGGTGCGGGAGAGTAAAACGCCGTAGCGTTTGATCTGCGGCTTTTCCACATAATCCCACGTAGAGGCAAGGACTGAAGCAAGCGCTTATCTTTTTTTCTGACATGACGCCTGAGTCCTCGTTGGTGCTGCGGATTTCAGGAGTGAATAAAAAAACAACATATTTTTCTTGTCAACACAACTTTTGGATGGTGGTGGGTGCAGTTGTTGTGCCACGCTTTTCTCCATGCATTCATTGCAGACAAATCAGCAACGCTCCTGAACTTCAATCTAAGTTTGTAGAAGTCTGGTGGGTGTTCGATAGATGGACCCCGGCCATCGGCGGCCTCGAGCCACTCCGGCAGTGTGATTGGGCCGCGCGGCTGTCTGATTACCGCGGGCCGGCGCGCTGCGCTATCGCCGGTCGACACCCCGGAGCTGGGTGGTGCCTGGCCGCTGATGAGCGTCTGGTGCAGTGTCGGCGCATGGGTCCCGGCACCCGGGCCTGCTGCCTGTGTCATTGTCGCCGCTAACGCCGGCGGTGTGTGGTTTCAGGCAGGCACTGGTGGCGGCCAAGAAGGCCGGCCACTCCGACACAGACAGCTCCGACTCGTCCGACGACTCTGACTCGGACAGCTCCAGCTCCAGCGGAGACTCCAGCTCATCAGACGACTCGGACAGCTCCAGCTCCAGCTCTAGCTCAAGCAGTTCGAGTGATTCATCCAGCAAGCCGCCGGAGAAGAAGAGGAAAACGAAGAAGAAATGACCGGGTGTCGCCAAGAAAGACAAAACTGAGATTGGTCTTTCCCACGCGCTCGGTTTGAATTGTATTGTTGTGCTGCTTGGGCATGATGGTACGCTCTGCGTCTGTCACAATGGAACCAATGTCTCATGTCATTGTAGTGTACCATATCATATGAGGAACCCATGACGGCTGCTTTCAAGAATAGACCATGCTCGTCTGACTAGGGATATCCGAAAACCTCTCTCCGGAGTGTGACTTAAGCGATCTCTCCCCCTTTCTTTGATACCAATGTTTTTCATCATCCGTTATGGTATCTTTCATCTGGGCACGAGTCGCGTTCGACTGCCGCATCCTCGTTGGCGCGCGGCCGACGTGAGGACTGGCTGCGCGACGGGCTCTGACGTCACCCGCACCGGTGTTCAGCTGGCGAGCGGTGCCCGCGCGCAATCAAGAAGAGGCCGGCTCTAGGCTGAACTATTCAATGATCGCGCTTTAGTTAACTTCGAAGTTTGGGAGATCCTTAGGCGGAGAGGAGACACATGCACTCTAACTCAGTAGAACTGCAACACTGGAACCAAGTTGTGAGCAAAGTTTCCGCGATCAGCAGACAGCTGATTCATGCTTCTGCAGCTGTACCCGGATGGAACAAAATCGTGCAAGCTCTAGAGAAACTCGCAAGCGTCTTCGGTGGGTTGTTCATAAGCCTAGCACGAGATGGCAAAGTGATACAGGTAACAAACACAACGTGAGTGCCAGGTGTCATCCTCTGTTGCTCCACTCCATTCATGCCACCTGAGATACGCCACGGCTGGTGACAGTTGTCGGAACAGAGGTCATGGTGCATTTGTTCGATGTCTTCAGCATTTCGCGTTGCGTTCAGCATGCATTTGCGGTCGCCTACCAAATTTCGTCGTCCAGGGGACTATCGCGATAAAAGCCATGGATTGTGTCCTGGTCCAGATAATGGAGGAATAAACCATTTTCAGCCGTTTTGTCAGCCAAGGCCTTTTTTATTACGGTCAACGCACCCAGTTAATATGTAACAACACGGCTAGAGAGTTGTGATGCAGTCGAGGCCGCGGGACGGACGAGTCTCACCCGAACTTCGATGATGAGTTCGGAGCGGGCCGGCATGGTCTCCGCGCTGTCAAACTACTGTCTGTGGGAGCACTGGTCAGCTCCGCGCGATTCCGCGGGGAGAAGCGCGGTCCCCGCCGCGGCCGCGCCCATCTGACGGCATCCGCGCGCGTGCTCTCCGGTCGGATGCGATTATCCTGAAACAGTGCATTACGAACGAGTTATGCACTTGCCATGTCATGAACATGGGCGATACAGAATGCGCGGATTGCACGCCGTGGCTGGGAGCCGGGCCCACGTATGGACTGCGGGTGCTGCGGCGACACGCCACCAGCGCTCTGACGGGGCAGAGCACCTTCAATGGTATCGGCAGAAGCGGAAGGTCGGCGTGTGCGGTTGGCGGAGTACTGTCTCCCGCAAGACTTGTACTCCTCCATGTCGCAGCGTTTTTAAGAATCGCTTGAGATCTTGGCGGTCTGGCAAATCAAGACTTGTAGCAAAATGCGCGATGTACGCGAATTTACTCCCCACCTAGCATCTGATTCTAGAGGCACCCTTGGCTCCTAGTTGCGGGAAGGAGGACGATCCTAGATATGCCGTGACCCGGGAGCGCTGACATGGCCGGTGCGGTTGTCCGCACTTCGTAAAACGTTGAACTGCGATGCGTTTCGCAATGTCTGGAAATAAAATGCCCTCATTGTTGTCAAATTAGTACGGTAGTAACAGTCCCGAAACGGTCTGTCACTACTATTTCTAGGCTGCCTCGAACAAGACACGATGTGGCCGAAACCGAAAAAAAAGATTGGAAGCGTGCATACATTGAAAGCATGCTGGTATGCAACCTAGTTCAGTGTTAGAATTTCTCACCCTGATATTCGAGCTTTTCTAATATACTTTGATAGGAAGTTCCCTGAACTTGGACCGTCACAAGATAGTTGCTTCCGGCGGCTGACATGACCTGGCCTGACCCTGACCAGACCTGGAGCCAGGAAACTCGAGCGATTCGAGTTGTCAATTAGCGCGCAACCGGTTGTTAATGAACCTCTGCGTAATACAATATCATCAACGACGGACTTGCTAGCTTAAACACATTGCTCAGATCGATCCGCATGTCCTCCGGTGCAGGTGGTAACTACACAAACACTATGTAAATCTACACTCTATACAAACATATATATATATATATATATATATATATATATATATGTATATATTTGGCTCGGTAGCTGCGATGTTTGTATTACCTGCATAATAGCAATTGATAAACCTCGCGTCTTTTATCACCGTGTACCACGGCACACAACTTACAAGGCGTCTTGATCTATTGAATGGTCCTGATTTCGCGCAGGTGGAAATGCAAACGAACAAACGCTCAAACTAGACTGGGACCGCTGATCCCGCAAATGGGCAAGCGTTCAGACCAGCTCCGCCGACTGACCGCGACCGCGCCGACTTCGCAGTTTGGACGACGTTCAGGCCACAGCGGAGCACCATCGACTAAGACTGCTCACGTACACGTCCGCGGGACGTCGCGGGTAGTTGCCTGAAGCATCCGCAAGCCTAGCACCAGTCCAGACAAACGATAAACGACAAACGACAAACGACAAACGATCCGACTTCAGCAAGCATGGACGTTGGCCGTAAGTATTGGATGGAGCGAAGGCGTGGTAAAACGGCATATCGTTTGCTGCCTACCGGCCCCCTCTGCACTCCTACCACCAACGCCGCCGTCACCGCCACCCCCACCGCTAACTCAACCCCGACACACCGCCCTATCTCTTCAGAAGCTTCCTCGCCACCGCATCGCGCACTGGTGGCGCTGTCTAACCGGCTCGGGAACGGCGTGCCGCGGCTACATCTTTGTCTCCGCGTGTCCGGACATGACAAGGGTCCAGATCACCGCAGTGGGATGCTCCTGCGGCACGTGAGAGCCGCCGGCGGTCCCGGCGGAGTGCCTTCAGTGCGTCAGCGGACGTCTGTCGCGCCCCGCCACTCCCGACAGAGGCGTGGCCAGGCCGGTGGCGCCGACGGTAATGCCCCTTCGTGCTGCGACCATCTGTCTCGGGCCGTCGGGCCGCTGCAATATTCAGCGGCCGCGGCCACGTTATGGAGCCCCCGGGAGCCGGCGGGACGCCACCGCTCTGACCAGCCAACTGGCCACAGCACGCGGCAGGACGCCCCGCAGGTTGGTGACGTGACCCGAGAGGGGATCGCAACCGACCTCACGCGTTATTCACTTTTCGCTTGTTGATGGTAAGTACCCATTCAGTACCAAAAACATAGACAAACTGCGGGCACAAACTGAACTCGGGGGAAGTTAAACGTGAGACAGCAGTTAGCCATCATGGCTGCGACCGAGTCCACGGTACACCGACTCACCGCCCCCCTCACGCAGCGAGTGGACGCCACGGCACTGACGCGTCGGGAGGCACGGTGCCGTGAACGTCGGCTGACCGCCTATCTGTATGAATCCAGCGCGCCGGTCCTCGCGCACACGTGTGCGAGAACTCTCAGCTTGGCGAGACAAGAACGAAGGGCGCTGAATGCCGGCTTGCATGCCGTCGCCATACTGTTGTCCGAGAAAAGGACAACACTGGTCCTCTGCTAGGTTCCCCTCCCAAATAATTTCAACACGAAAGACGAACAGAGCGTCTACACTTTGACAGAAACAGACGGGGCAGACGGAAACAGACGGAGCAGAACAAAAGCCGTCTGGTCAAGCCGAAAAAGTAATACACTCCTGGAGCCTGCCGCGGCTCCACCCATGCGTGGCATGTGATTTCACAGCTGGCGCTGTCAGTGCTGGTGGACCGGTCGATCCCGAGAGCGCCCCGCACACCGTAGGCCACCGTCAGAGCCGCGGCCCACCGCTAATGGACCTGTCAGCGGACCAGGAAGTGCTCGTATCTCCCTGGACGTGCCACTCCGCGGGGTCATTACCGAGCCCTCGTGCCAAGGTCTGACCTCCGGCTCAATAGTGTGCACAGCGGGGGGGGGGGGGGGTTGGGGGGGGGGGGGGGGTGAACCAACGGCACTGAAGCCGTCCTCAGCTTGGAAGGGCCCCTTCTGAGCCAGGTCTGGAACCCCGTTCACGCGTGGCGTGAAGGGGTCAACCCGGCCTGAAAGGAGAGGGAGAAGTGGAATGCTCCGGAAGGAGCAGTGGACAGAGGAGTCACGTCCGGGGCTTTTCCATGCCATGCTCTGAAGGCCCCTGTTGACCAGCAGACGGACCTCTGCTGGCATTCAGAATGAGCCGCCCGCTGGTGGCTTAGAAAGGAGAATGTCACTGGTTGGCCAGCAACAGAACTCACTGTAGGTCCACAAGGAGAACTCGGCTGAGAGAAGCCTCATCTGGTCCGCACGGAGACCCCTGATCATCTCCCAAACGGTCTGTGATGGTGGTCTATAACGGAAACGCTGCGAGACTCTAGAGAGCCCACAGCGCTGCCCGAACAGTGGGCAGGTGAACAAATGTGCTTCACCGATATCCGATCCTTGAAATAAGCCGGCTGGGGGCGTGATGACGACCATGGCCGTGTCGGAGCCTCTGCCAGTGGCGCTGGTCTCCCGAGCCACAGTTTGACGGCAGGATCCGACATCAGATCCTCCTGCATCATCAGATCCCCAGCATCATCAGATCTCTCAGCATTAGCAGATCCTCCAGCATCCGTCGGCCCGAGTAACATGCGCATGTGTGCTCACTGTTCAACGTCACATGACGTTATGTGTTCGGGTTGCACAGACCTCCTTCTTTCTAGCGAGTCATCTGGTATTATCGTTGAGCTGGGGTGATGTCTATCACTCGCCGCGGTCTGCAGAAGATAGGCGAATAGACATATTGATGTGTTTGTGGTATCTTGGTGGCCCACTTTATGTCTCAAAAGACCTCTGGGGCATCATCCACATACCACTCACACAGGACTAGTGAAAGTCGACGATCCCTGAAGCCTAGCAGCAGTCTAATGTTTCGATTCGTTCTGTTTGTGTGTGTGTGTGTGTGCTTAACTGCACTAAGGTCGCTGTCGGTTATGCGTTATTTTGTGACTCACGAACATAGAAGCAAACCTGCCCATCCCACCACAGGCAACGGTAGCGTTTGTTTCCGCAGAGCCTCAAGACACCAAGATAGTCAAACGCGAAGTTCCAGTGTTGCTACTACTTTAAACAAAACAGAATTCCAGCTTGTTGCTTTAAATTCCAGCTCCGGAGTCGCAGAGCCATTTCAGAAGACTGGTCTCTACTTTTCGAACAATATTGGTGCGCTACCGCTCACGTCTATCGACTCACCCACTCCATCCGCGCAAGTCATTTGCAGACCATTTTCTCATCTTTTTGTCCATCCATCTATCCATCCATTCTTTTATCTTCCCTTGTTTCTCGCTGCCTCTCTCCTCTCTCCTTTCCTCCCTTCTCTCCATTGTTTTTCTCCGCTCTCCTCTCCTCTCGTCTCCTCTCCTCCCTTCCCCTCTCGTCGACTCCCCCTTCGCCAACTTATTTCAAAGTTGCTGAAGTTAGCAGTAAGTTTTCCAGCGCCAGTGTTCTCTACCACTAAAAATGAGATCCAAGTCATTTAAACTGCATCAAACTTTTCGGGATAAGAAAGCATCGAAGGGAGTTTTTTTTAACGTATTGCTTCGTGCCACTCCCGTAAACTTCTTGGGGTTCCTTCGAGACGCTTTGGCCCGAGTGGTTTTCGATCCGTGTAATTTCCTTCCGTCCTGACCAAGCATTTACTGCCACTTGTTGGCTGCCAATGACTTGGCTGGGACGCGTCGGCTCGGTACTGCCGTAAAGGGCGCGTCGCTCGAAGGAATTAAACCCAACAGTGGCGCATATATGAGTAGCAGCGGGCGACGACCGGGGTTGGGGAAGGGGCGCTTGCCTCCCCATCCTTCCAACAGTGGCGCGTATGTGCGTAGC